AGAGGAGGGAGGAGGAACTGGGATTGGAGTGTAAAAAATAAATTACTAAAAGAAAATAAAAAACATTTTAAAAACCTCATGTATCAGGAGCTGGGCAGATGGCTCAGTTGGTAGGAGCTCTTGGTCTGCAATCATGATGACCTGAGTTTGAATTCCCAGCACCCACATAAAAAGCCAGGCAGGGCTATGGGTGCCTGTAGCCCCAGCATTGAGGGGTGGAGGCCGGTGGATCCTGACAACCAGCTTCTGGTTCAGTGAGAGACACCCCCTCATCTCTAGGCAATGAGGTGGAGAACAGCTGGCATCCTGCCCTGGCCTCTGCATGTCTGTGTAAAGCTGTGAACAGTCACACAGCCACATACATGCATCACATACTCATATACCACACACATGAACGAAAGATTAAGAGTCACAAATGGAGAATGGTAGGTCACGCCTTTAATCCCAGCACTCAGGAGGCAGAGGCAGGTGGATCTCTGAGCGTTCAAGGGCAGCCTGGTCAGCAAAGTGAATTCTAGGACAGACAGGGATTCACAGAAAGACCCTGACCCAAAATACCAACAAATAAAAATAAACAAATGAAACAAAACACTCTAGTGATTGGAAGATTGTAGGAGTGAGCCCACAAACCTATCCGCCCAAAAGAGCAGAGATAGGGAGATGAGCACAGGTGAGGATAAAAAGAAAGTAAGCTCTCTTTGAAGGCCTGCCACGCTTCTAACCTTTCAGCTGGTGTGTAGTTTCTTTCTCCCTCTGGTAAATAAATATATTATATTCCATATTGCATTGGCCTCCCTTGACAGAAGATGGCTCAGTGGTTCAGAGCACTAGTTGCTCTTGCAGGGGATGGGATTTAATTCCCAGCACTCATGTGGCAGCTTACAACCATCTGAAACTCCAGCTCCAGGGGATCCAATGCCCTCTTCGGACCTCTGTGGCACTAGGCGTGTATTCAGTGTCCATATACACATGAATAATAAAAAGGTTTATTAAAATACTATGCAACGGTGGCTTGAGAGACGGCTGAGTGATCAAGAGTGGGTGCTGTTTTTACAGAGAACCCCAGTTCGGTTCCCAGCACCATGTCAGGAGGCTCACGCCCGCCAGCAACTTCAGCTCCAGGGGGTCTGATGCACGTACCTACCCTCATACACATAATTTAAAACAATTATAAAAACGCAACAAGTAAAACTGCGTCTAGCGGTGAGAGGCCCCCTGCTCCCATCTCTCAGTCCCCCGCCTTTCACTTTTTGAGCAGATGTCACTATCGGGTGGGAGGGTGTGTTTGTGTGTGGACCTGGGCCATCCCCAAAAGGGAGCAAAAAGTCTGTAGAATACATCTTGGAGCATGCAGCTCTCAGAATCTTAGTGGGCAACATCCAAGAAGCAGAGAGGGAGAAACCAAAACAGATGCATTTATCCCAAAGACACGTACATGTACAATTTTGTTATTATTGTTTTTGAAAGCAGAATCCCAAAAATACCTTCAGAGGATTTCATTTCTTGCTTAATTTCTGTCTCCAGTGACCTGCAAAGTTAAGGGACAGAAATAATTCAAGATCCTTGAGCTGGTGGCTCTTTCTTCTCCAAAGCTCCCAAAAACTGCTTGGTGGGGGTTCTTGCTGGGTGGGGCTTCTGTTGACACTGCTGTTTGCTTACTTATTTATGTACTTACATTGTTGTTCCCCATGAATATGTTTTTATTATCCAATATGTGAATTATAAGATACGGGATTAAATTTCTTACATAATTATTTACTGTGCAATCAGTCAATGACAAGAACAAAAAGAAAGAAGAAAAGGAACTAGAAGTCAGATGTGGTGGTGCACACCTGTAATTCCAGCATTCAAGGAGTAATGAGTTTGAGGTCAGCCTGGACCTTGGGAAACCCTGTCTAAAACACTAACAAAAAAGAAATGAAAAGAATCAGCCAAAGTCTGGGAGAACTTTTCCGGATGTGGTTATTTCCTGGCTTGTAGATCTTCCTGAAAAACCCAAACTTTTCCTTCCTTTCCTTAAAAAAATTTTATTTTTATTTTATGTGTGTATGTACACCATTTGCATGCAGTACCCATAGACGTCAGAAGAGGGGCATCAGATCCCTTAGAATTGTGGTTGCAGATGACTGTGAGCTGCTCTTTGTGTCCTGGGAGTCGCACCGGGTCCTCTGCAAGAACAGTCACGGCTCTTAACCACTGAGCCTTCTTTCCAGTTCCTTTTCCTTCCTTCCTCCCTCCCTCCCTCCCTCTCTCCCTCCCTCCCTCCCTCCCTCCCTCCCTCCCTCCCTCCCTCCCTCCCTCCCTCCCTCCCTCCCGTCCATCCTTCCTTCCTTCCTTCCTTCCTTCCTTCCCTCCCTTTCGTATGTAATTCGAAGGCCTTCATTGCAGGGAGTTCTTGAGATCAGTTCCCCTGGGCTGAGAGAGGAAGGGAGGAAACGAGATCAGACAGTGTTGGACAGAGAGGCAATTCGGCTGTGGTATTATTGGGATACCTTCAACTGGTTCCATGGATAGTGATTGAACTGCATTTGGTGTTCAGAGTTGTCTGGAGTCGAGTAAGAGAGTGGGTGTTAATTACCTGCTCTCTTACCCTTGCACGCCAATGGCTGTCATGCTCCTAGGGCATGAACTAGCTATTGAAACCCATCTGGGCCACAGCACAGCCTCATCTAGAGTCAGAGGCTGAGATACCTAAGTTGAAGATGCACACATGGGTGAGATAGGGACAGGCTGCTTCTCAGCGAGTCTTGGATTCAGGTGACATCACAGTTATTCTTCCCAGGTACTCGGTCTGCAGCTCTGGTAAGGCTGCCATGGAGTGAACAGTGGCCGGGGGACTCTGAGCTGTGGTCCAAGCAGGTGTGTCTTCATAAGTGGGGCTGAGCTGCTTATCACAGACTTAGTCACATCCCCCATCCACATGTGGTTTTATTTCCCTACCAAAATAAAACTCTCCATCAGAAACCATGAGATAATTTCCGATCTTTGCCCACTTATAAGGCAACTGACCTGCAATTTAGAGCAAGATTTAAAGAGACAAACATCAAAATCTGCCTCCCTCACTCCAGCCCACCTGCTTCAGTGGCCGGGAATCTTTGTTTAATCTGACTCCAGGTCCTTCTTTGTGTTTGAGAAAAACATTCCTCGTGCTTCTTTTGCGGCTCCTCTGTGTCCCAGTTGCAGCTTTGGGAACTCTGATTGGCGCCATCAAAGTTGTAATTTAAAGCTTTCTTCGGCGGCCCAGGCTTTCTTTGCCTTGGACAGTTATCGGCCCTCATTATCGAAACCACCCATCCCTTTGTTGTTTGCATAACAGAGAAAGCAGCTTCCTGCTCCTGTGACTTGGCAGAATATGAATAAGGAAAGGGAAGGGGAGGGAGAAAGAGAAGAGAGGAATAGACAGAGGAGAGAGGGAAGAGACAGACAGAAAGATGGATGGACACACAGACACACACAGAGAATATGTAAGGGTCCTTTACCATCACCATCCTCTGAGGTCTTTTTATTAGATGGGACCCTGTTCCTCCCCAGCCCCTTTCTGTGACAGTGTCTTAGGTCTGAGGCCAAGGAAAACCTTGAACTTCTGATCCTCTTGCTTCTACCTCCCGAGTGCTGGGGTTTTAAACATTACCAGCATACACGGTTTAACGGCTTGTGTGTGTGTGTGTGTGTGTGTGTGTGTGTGTGTGTGTGTGTGTGTGTGGTGTTGGAGTTCAAACCTAGGGCTTCCTGCATGCTAAGCAAGCTCTGCTAGCCGAGCCATGTCCTTGGCCCTGGGTCCCCAGAGGAGCTGTCACTGTGAAGAGAGGCATTCACTGATTAAAGTCTGCTTAAGAATGAACAGACCTTCTTTTTTTTTTTTTTTTTTTTTTTTTTTGGTTTTTACGAGACAGGGTTTCTCTGTATTGTTTTGGAGGGTGTGAACATACCTTCTTGCTTTTCAAAGTTTCTACATCATTTCTACTGGAGCCATTAATTTCTTGAAATCAGTTTTCACTGTTTCCTAAGATGCACACACTTAGCTTAAAAAGTTAAACAATATTGGGGCTCATAAAGAAAACCAGCTGACACCTGCCAGATCTATACTCTTTTTTTTTTCCCCTGGTGCACACCTAGGACTTGGAAGGTGGGCAGGTGGATCTTTGGGAGTTCAAGGCCTAGTCTACACAGCAACTTGTAGGACATCCAGGGCTACAGGGTGAGTCCCTGTGTAAGAAGTAAAAATAATAAGGTAGAGAGTAGTAGAGGAAGATGCCGACATCTAACCTCCCATGTTCTCTCCAAGGCAAGGGCACTTGCTAGGATTAAAGGTATGCAACTACCCAGGGTTTCAAGGTTTGATACCTAGCACCACATAAACTGGGTGTGCTTGCAATACCTAGATTTCTAGCACTCAATAGGCAGAGGCAGGTGGAGTTCCGTAAATTCAAGACCAGCCTGGTCTACATATCAAGTTCCAGGCCTGACAGGGCTACATAATGAGACTTTGTCTCAAAAGTATTATATATATAATATATATATTATGTTTTAATGAGGATATAATTATGCATGTTTGGGGTTTTGCATACATAGCTATGTTGTGTCAAGATCACATTGTCATAGTATCCCATTGTGTAGGGCAGCTGGCATACTGATTGGACATTCATGCATTTATCATATCCTTATGACAAGAGCTCTCCCAAACATCTAATTTAAAATTTTAGGGGCTGGTAGGATTTCTCGGTAGCTAATGTGCTGTCATGTCTGCTGGTTAGCTTTGTGTCAACTTGACTCAAGCGAGAATCATTTTGGAAGATGGAAAATGCCTCTACCAGATTGGCTTGTGTGCAAGCCTTTGGGCCATTTTCTTTTCCTCCCTCCCTCCCTCCCTCCTTCCCTCCCTCCCTCCCTCCCTCCCTCCCTCCCTCCCTTCCTTCCTTCCTTTCTTTCTTTCCCTCTTTTTTTTTAATCCAAAGTGTGTTTATTGGGATGGTTCCCACTCATCTTGAATCAGGTGCTTCTCAGTGCTGCTTCCTCCTGAAGGAACCTCCTTCTGCCAGCCTTGCTTTGTGTCCTGTAGGCTGACAGAGGGCACTGGAGCAGCCGACACCCAAGACCACTGTGTGTGCATGGCTAAAGACCATGGTGACTTTATAGCATCCTGGGCACTTCACATGTATAAAGTAGGAACTGGGGCTCTGCACCAGGCGCTTTTTCTTGTGTTTCCTCTTCTCCTCTTCTTGAGACGGATGAAGGAGATCCTTTGTGAGAGGCATGTTCTCGTAGGGAGGTTGTCACCTCTGGATAGGGGACATTTTCTTTTTAAGCTTTATTTATTCTTTTCTTCCTCCCTCCCTCTCTTCCTTCCTTTGTCCCCCCACTTCCTTTCTTTCTTCTTTTTGAGACAGGGTCTCTCTATGTAGCCTTGATGACTGGCCTGGAACTAGTGTGTAGACCAGGCTGGCCTCAAACTCACAGAGATTTGTCTGCCCCTGCCTCCAGAGTGCTGGGATTAAATGCACTACTATCCTTGGCTTGGGATATTTTCTTGTTGGATGTAGGAGGGCCCAGATCACTGTGGGTGGGGCCACCCTTGGACTGGAGATTCTGGGTGCAGCAAGAAAGCAGTCTGAGCAGACTGTGAAAGCAAGTCAGTAGGCAGCTCTCCTCCATGGCTTCTACTTTAGTTCCCGCTTCCAGGTTCCTGCCCCGCTAAGCTTCTGCCCCGACTTCCCTCAGTGATGGACTGTTACCTGGAAGTGTAAGAGGAAATAAGCTTTTTCCTCTCCACGATGCTTTTGGCCATAGAGTTTCATCACAGCAATAGAAACCCTAAAGATCGTACGCAAGTCCCATGACATGAGTTCAAACATTGGGACCCTTTCCCTCCCTTCTGCCCTGCCCCATACCCCTAAGTCTTTGATCACCACTGTCTTTCCAGGTAGAAGTATCCAGCTTCTTAGATTCCACATGTAAGAGAAATCATAAAGTATTTGTCTTTGTGTATTTTATTTATATTGTTTAACACAAAGCCTTCCTGATTCACTGGCATTACCACAAATGACAGAATTGCATCCTTATTTATGACTGAGTAGTATTCCTTTGTATAGGCATACCACATTTTCTTTACCCATTCGTTAGACAACTATGATTATTCTATTTCTCAGCTTTTATAAAGAGTGCTGCATTGGGTGTGTCTGGTATGCCGATTTCATTTCCTGTGGTTATATCCCTAGTAATGTGTGGGAACACCAGACCTTGAGCAGAGACCCACTTCCCCTTCTGCCTGGGAGTTGGCAGCTGTAAGACAATCTAAAGACATGTTTGCTAAAAACAATACAATGCCTGGGGGCATTAAGTTCCTGGAAAAGGCCTGCCTACAGAAACCACCCTGACCTCGACCTTGTCCAAAGACTAACCGCCCCTTCTGCCACGCCCAGATCAGTTTCTGGGGTCAGAGCAGGACCAGCCAGGGTAGAGGAGAGAGCAGAAGCTTCTCTGGTGGGAGCCTTTCTTAGGGAGTTTTCTTGAACCTTTTTGGAGCCTGCTTAAAGTTTTCTTTACATCGTTGAACGAGTCTCTGTGTTGTCAATCCCCGACACCCTCCGCACGTTCTCGGACACAGGCCGCGCAGCAGACGCGACAGTAATGGGCCTGATGGATTCTAAGTTATATTTTAGTTTCCTTCTATTTTTACTATTCGTATTTTTTCCTGTGTAGCATGTTGATGGCTTGAGTCTTCAGCTTCGAACTTTACCTACTGCTTCCTGCTCTCTGTCTCTATTTCTAGCTCCTTTTTCTGCCAAAAGAACTACATTAAACTGCCGGTTAAATCCGATTATGGGTTTTATATTTTATGACCATATAAATGTTGTTTAATGAAGAGCCAAAGAATGTCTGGAGTTACGCAGTCGAAATACTTGAGACCAAAACTGAGGGGAGACTTTGTTCTCTGATAATTTCATGAATGTATATGAACCCCCTTCTGAACCTTTTCTTCTTCCCAAAAAGTTCTCCTTCCATATCTTTGGGGCTTTGTGATCTGCTCTAATTTAATTACAGCTCACACCAACATGGTTGTAGAACAACTCTCTTTATGATTACTTGATATGTGGTATCCAGTTTGCTTTATATACAGATACAAATAATTTTAAAACATGGATTTAATATACCCTGTGATTTCTAAAAAGATTTGTAATTTATTTTTTTGTGCATGAGTGTTTGCCTGCATAGGTGCATGTGTTCAGGCCTCCATATCCTCTAGACCAGTGGTTCTCAACCCTCTTAATGCTGCGACCCTTTAACACAGATCCTCATGTTGTGGTGGTCACCAACTATAAAATTATTTTATTACTTCATAACTCTAATTTGCTACTGTTATGAATTGTAATGTAATAGTTGACATTCAGGATATCTAATATGAGACTTCTGTGAAAGGATCACTTGACCCCTAAAGGAGCCAAGACCCACAAGTTGAGAACCTCTTCTCTAGAGCTAGAGTTAAAAATGGTTGTGAGCCATCAACCAGATGGGTGATAGGAACTGAACCTGGGTTCTCTACAAGAGCACAATCCCTTAGCCATTGAGCTATCTCTCCAGCATCTACCCTTTAAAGATAAGAATGCAACTACTGTGTAAATTAAGGGGAGATTGGACTTTTCTTGATAATTTAACTGAAAGTTGTCATGACTTAGAAAAACATGTCACTGTCATCAGCACTGCTGGTGATTAAATATCCTGTTATCTGTATGCAAATGCCTCCCTTCCTCATGAGAATTCAAATGCAGGAAGTTAGACTTTTTTTTTAATGACAAATGCAATATAAGAAAAACAACACAGTATAATGAGGAAAGTGTGGATGCTATTTAGTTTGAATGGCTTTAACTTGTCTTGAGCTTATTTATTGGAGATGGTGAAACCATCTAGATATTATGTTTTCCTGAATATACAGCTCACACAGAGAAACACCTGCATTGTATCACAAATTGCTTTTCTTTTCTGTCTCCTTTGTTAGGAAAATTTAATAGTGTGTGTGTGTGTGTGTGTGTGTGTGTGTGTGTGTGTGTGTGTGTGTGTGCTTGTTTGGGCATGCATGTGTGGAGGCTGGAGATCATTGTTAAATTTCTTCCTCTTTTCCTCTCTACTGTATTTATTGAGGCAGGGTGTTGTGGCATATTTTTACACTGTGTGAAGATATATTGCTGTGATTGGTTTAATAAAGAGCTGAATGGCCAATAGCTAGGCAAGAGGAAAATGTAGATTAATAATGGCAGGTTAATTTAAGTTATAAGAGCTAGTGGGATAAGCCTACACTTAGTCTGAGCTTTCATAATTAATACTAAGTCTCCACATAATTATTTGTGAACTGGTGGCCCAAAGAAAGGTCCAACTACTGTAGTGTCTCTCAGTGAACCTGAAGTTTACTGTTTGAACTCATCTGTCTGCCCAGTGAGCCCTGGGGTCTGCTTGCCTCATTTGTTCCCAGTGTGGGGTTACAGATCAGCCTGCTGAGCCCAGCTTTGATGTGGGTGCTGGGGATCTGAACTTATGTCCTAACGACTCCATGGCAATCTCTATACCCAGTTTTCCAGCTCCCCATCCCCTTTGTGTAATTTTTTAAACAAAATTATTGGTATGTTATTTTAACTATGAATTTTAGCTTAGAGAGCTGAAGATGTTTCAAAATGTTAATGAATTAATTAATTTTGGCAGTTTTGGATTTTTTTTAAATAGAGTCTTGCTGTGTAGCCCAGGCTAGCTTAGCTTGTAGTCAGGTTGGCTTCAAAGTTGCAGAGATTCTCCTGCTTCAGCCTTCTGAATGACTACAATTGCAGGTGTGTATCACCATTCCAGGCTCGAATTTTTTGTTCTTAAAAAAGGTTTAAATAAGCCGGGCGTTGGTGGCGCACGCCTTTGATCCCAGCACTCGGGAGGCAGAGGCAGGCGGATCACTGTGAGTTCGAGACCAGCCTGGTCTACCGAGCAAGTTCCAGGACAGCCTCCAAAGCCACAGGGAAACCCTGTCTCGAAAAACCAAAAAAAAAAAAAAAAAAAAAAAAAAAAGGTTTAAATATAGTCCCCCAAAATGGTCAGGTTTCAAAGTGGTTTCTGAGTGAGAAAATCTTGGTAGAATCTTAGAAGAGAACATCTTGGTATGATGGGGTTTTTGTAAAATTCTCAAAATGGTCAGTTAATTTAGAGTGACAGAAGGAAGAATAGAGATTGCCTGGTAACATGAAGTGGGCAAACAACAAAGGGACATGGGGCACTGTGACAGGGAGCTTTAACTGTCCACTTGGCACAACCTGGAATCACCGGGGATGAGAATCTCAATGAGGGATCGCCCCAATCGGGTTGGTCTGTGGGCGTGTCTATGGGGCATTGTCTTGATGACATCAGCTGGGGTGAGAAGGCCTGCCCATTGTGGGCAGCATCACTCCCTAGGCTGATGTAAACATGTGAAAGTGGAGCTGAGTGCACAAATGTGTCCTTGTCTCTCTGCCCTTGGTTGTGGATGTGATGTGAGCAGTGATTCAACACACTGCTGCCATTACGCCTCTGCTATAATAGACTGTAACTTTGAATTGCAAGCTAAATAGGCTGCCTTTACCCTAAGTTGCTTTTTGTCGGGAATTTTATCATAGTAGCAAAGCTGCTAGAGGATATGTGGACACCAGTTGGACTCTTGCACTGAGGTGTTTTCAGATGTTAGTAGCTATAGAGTCTGTAGCTGTTTCTCCTACTTTTGATTCAATTACTTGGACCTGGTTTCCAGCAGTTTTGGAAACAAGCAGAGTAAAGATGTGTGAGTGTCCTTGTTTAATATACAAATTTAATCCCTTGTTTTCAGGCTATCTCCTCACACTAACTTCCCTACTGCCTGCATAATTCATTCAATGCTTCCTTATTATTGTTAATTTTACTGGCCCTTTCTCCTAGAATGTAATAAGCTTTAAGCATGTTCAAAGAGAAGTCAGGTATGGTAGCTCATATTTCAGGAAGCTGAAGCAAGAAGATTGCCATGAACCTCCTGAGGCCAGCCTTGTTTCAAAAGCTAAACATATTCAAGTTGAGCAGTTACATGAATAAAGTGTTTTTATAAACATCCTTTTATATAAAGTTAGAAAATTTTCTTAGAAGAAGTTAGGCATGGAGCCAATGACATGAAAGATTAACCTCCAGCCTGCACATGTATGTGTGCATATGCATATGTACTCCCTACACACACACACACACACACACACACACAGAGAGAGAGAGAGAGAGAGAGAGAGAG